TTTCAGTGTATGTTTTATTTATGCCAAACCACAGACACACTCTCTTGTCTCCCACTAAAAACTGTTGGAAAAGGAAACATCTCCACTCACTGAGCTCAGAAACAGCGTCTGAATCACAGCAGCCACAGCCTCAAATTCCTTCCCCTTTTCCTCTCAAGCAGAAAAAACATTCCCTTGAAAGCTTCTGTTAAAGTTTCTGTTCTGTATTTCCCTTTTTTTTTTTTTTTCTCCTCATTTTTGCAACACCAGACCTCACGGGGAGAAGGGCAGGGAGGAAAAACCCTCTGGAAATCCTTCACCTTTTTCTTCCTTAAAACCCCACCGGGGATTCCCACCTTTTATGAGTCTGCCAGGCTGCAGGTGGGTGGTTTTCCCTTCATCCCATCACTCCACTGGATGCAAGGGAGAAGCAGCAGCAGAGCAGCAACTGCTCCATCACCTCCCCTTTCCCTCCCAGCACCAATTAAGATAAATCAGCCGAAATTCCACCTCTCCTCAAGTCTGAAGGCCCTTTCATTAAGCAGATGAGAGAGCAGCCAAGCAGAGCTGATGAGTTCCCTTCCACAAAGTGGCTGAGTCACCATTCCTGGAGGGATGTAAAAGACATGGAAATGTGCCTCTTGGGGACATTGTCTAGTCGTGAACACAGCAATTAACAGCTGCACTTGATGAACTTAAAGGGCTTTTCCAGCCTAAACGATTCCATGATTTAGGCCATCCGATGGGCCAGGGGAGGGGAGGAGCCCTGCCAACCTGTCTCCATGGAATGTGGCTCTGGAAAACAGGAGGCTGATGAGGCTTTTTCATCCATCAGGACCAATAATCAGTTGGACACGGAGCAAAATTCTGACTCATCCCTTCCAGAGAGAGAGACGTGGGAAGGTTCATGATGTGCACAGCTCTGGCCAATGGATTTATGTTCCCAAATCTCCAGGATGCTGATGCAGAAGCAATGAGCAGGGATGCATCCCACTGGAGCTTCCAGCTGCTCAAACAGCTTCTGTGGGAAACGGAATTGCTTGCAGAGCCATCCTCAGATTGGGGACACCAGAGCTGAAGCACTGAATCCAGCTCTGGGATCATCAGCACAAGGATGTGGAGCTGCTGGAGCAAACCCAGATGAAGCCATGGAGATGCTCCAAGGGCTGGAGCCCCTCTGCTCTGGAGCCAGGCTGGGAGAGCTGGGAATGTCCAGCCTGGAGAAGGGAAGGATCCAGGGAGAGCTCAGAGCCCCTTCCAGTGCCTGAAGGGGCTCCAGGAGAGCTGGAGAGGGACTTGGGACAAGGGATGGAGGGACAGGACACCGGGAATGGTTTCCCACTGCCAGAGGGCAGGGATAGATGGGATATTGGGAAGAAATTCTTGGCTGTGAGGGTGGTGGGGCCCTGGCACAGGTTTCCCAGAGAAGCTGTGACTGCCCCATCCCTGGCAGTATCCAAGGCCAGGTTGGATGGGGCTTGGAGCAACCTGGGATAGTGGAAGGTGTCCCTGCCCATGGCAGAGGGTTGAATTCCAAGATCTTTAAGCTCTCTTCCAACTCAAACCATTCCACAATTCTTTGGTTTTAAGTTCTAAGTCCCAGAATTTGGGGCTAAATGATCCCATGGAACAGGACAGGCTGAGGGGGGAGGGAGTTGCTGCCTTTAACAGGGATAACTGTGGAGCTGATGTCCGAGGATAATCTGGCTCTGGCTCTGCACAAAGGACAAGCTGCCACTTCCAAGGTGCATCAAGGAAAACTCCAACCAGACCTAGGGAAGGAAAAGCTTTGCCAGGGCAGTGATTCATTTCCAAAACAGTGACCCTGACAGATGGTGGGGAATCTCCCTGCGCAGAAATATTGAAATTAAGTTTGAGAAAACCCTGAGAAACCCAGCCAGCGTTGACTCTCCTTTGAGGAGAAGGTTGAACTGGAGCCCTCCAGAGATCCTCCCAACCCTGGATTTCTGTGAAGAGTCTGGGCAGGGGCAGCAGATACCATAAAAAGACAAGAGGAACTTCTCACCACTTCCTCCCACCCCTAAATTTATCTTCTCCAACAGCTCCTCTATCGACATTGCCCAGAGCCATCAGCCTAGGACATCCCCAGGCCACAGGAAGGGTACAAATTTCCCAACCCTCACATGGTTTTTGGGGTTTTTTTCATTCGTTTGGGATTTTTTTGGGGTTTTTTTTCCATCTTTTTGTTTATTAAAGCTCCATTATGTACTTAGAACAGCCCTAAGCTCCAGTACCAGCCTGAGCAGTCAACTTCATCCCTGGTAGATTTTGGGTGAGGTCTCCTCCCACCCACAGGGGAGGGAAAAAAAAAAAAAAAGCTTTTATTAAAAACAAATTAGGCAACCAGAAACCACACTGAGAGGTGTCATTTCTGGTTTTGTCACAAACTACATCTTCTCTTTTTCAAATAAAAAGAGGAAGTCATCACAACGGAAAAATGCTAAGCTTTTGACTTTGAATATCACCAAATGCAGTCACAATCTTGGGTTACCAAACAAACAACAGGTTTTCCTACACCTACAACATCTTTCCATAGAAAGTTGGGAAAGACCTTTGGGATGATCAAGTCCAACCACCATTCACCACTAAACCATATCCTCAAGTGCCATTTCCAGAGGGTTTTTTTGAGCACTTCCAGGGATGGAGACTTCAGAAAAACACTGGGAAAACGGAGCTGAAACCACACCTGGAAGGGCCAAAGTGAGGAGGGGTCATCTGAGCACATCAGCGTTGCTTGGAGCCACCAAATAACCCCAAATTATTGGGGTGGGAGAGGGATCCTCTTCTCTGGAGTAGGAGCATGATCCTGCTCCACAGGGCTCTGAGCAGTAGGAAAAGCTCCTGGGCATCAGGCCATGGGAAAGGTCTATGGAATATCGCCAGAAACACTTGGAGGACTCCAGGAAAAACAGGGTGAGGATGGACAGGACGACGTGGGACAGCAACAGCTCAGCCTTCCTGGAATCACTCTTTTATTTTATAGAATTCCAGAATGGTTTGGATTGAGAAGAACCTTAAAGCTCCTGCCATGGGCAGGGACACCTATCTGAGGTTGCTCCAAGCCTCACCCAACCTGGCTTTGGACACTTCCAGGGATGGAGCACCCAGAACCACACATGGAATGAGTGGCAAAAAGCCTCCACTCACAGATACTCGGGAAAAAAATCCCTCCCTGTTTTAATGAAATGCATTCCAAGACCTCCATTTCCAACCAAAACAGCAACAATGAGTGGAAATAAACACATGGGAAATACCAGGAGCTTTGGAATACTGAGCCCTGGACATCAGCCCTGATGTGCCAGACGGTTTTGCTGCCAATGTACAGTTTGTTCACACCTGGGATTGACTGGGAAGTGGGAATTCTGCCAGGAATGCGTTGATACTGCTGTTTTTGCAGATGTGGAAAGCAGCCCATTAAGCAGCAAACACAACTAGTTTATGCTATTGATCCCTGCCTGCTCCATTCCTGTCGGAGTCCAGGACATCTCTCTGGCTGCCCTGGCTGTCTCGAGACCCTGGGCAGGGGTCTCAGAGACCTTGGCATGAAGTCAAAAACATCTGTGGCTTCGATTTTAGCCTGTGGAAAAAGCTGTCAATTTTGCATGAGGAATTACAAGCCACAAGGTTTGAGTAGTGTGGTGGTTGAATTAACACAGGGTGAAAAAAGTAGAATTTTTGGATATTTAGAGTGGGGTTCAGGGGAGTACAAGATGGAGGAATTTGGGCGTGTCCTAGCCTTCTTCTCCTTTGTCTTGTCCTCCATGTCTTGGTGTGATAGTGACACTTTTCTATTGGTTCAAGGTAGAGATTCACAGTCTAACACGGGTGATAGGAATTGGTAATAAATTGTAAACACAGACACGTAGTTTTGAGTATATAAGGTGGGAGCTGCCTGAGGCTCAGGAGCAGAATGCCATGGCCTCCTTGCTAGCCAGAGCTCAGCAGGTCAGAGAAAGAATGTTTAGATAATAATAATAATAATAAAAAATAAACAACCTTGAAGATGCAATCAGATGCATTCCAGGCTCCTTCTTTGGCTGTACAGGCTGGCAGAAAGGACTCATTATGATCTCGGGGTCACCCTGACCATCAGAACCCCGAGAAATCGACACATTCCCAGCTGGAGCGGGAAGGATGATGCCAAAGGCATCATCCCAACCACAGGATCAGCTCCAGGAATATTGGTCCCACTCCCCACCACACATCCCACAGAGCCTGGCCCAGCATTATCCTATTTCCTAGGAAATTCCCCATTTCCTAAACTTCTGTCTGGACAGTTCAGTTCTTGCTCTGGATACAGGAGGTGAGCCAGAGCCAAGTGAAGGAAATAAGGAAATTAACACAGCCTCAAGTGATATGTCCTCTCCCAGACAAAAATTTAACCATATGGGGGTACTTAAAATGCACTTTGTTCATGGCCAGCATGAATTTTAAACCCCTGAAATGTGAAACTGCTTTTAAATCCAACATCTTCCCTTCTACCTTCTCCTGACATGACACAAATTCCCTCCCATGTTTTTCCGATGTAATTTCCCTGCAACTGCACAACTTTCTCCCCTCCTGGAGGTGAAGGAGCACAAAGTCCCCAGAAATTCTGTGAATTCTATGAAATGTAAAACTTTGAGATTTTTCCTTTGCCCCCCAGTGCATCCCTAAACTAATCCTGGGTTTTATATTGCAGTTCCTGTTTTCCTGCTGTCATCACCTCATGTTTCCCCATCCATCCCACTCAGTCTGGAAAGGGCAGGACAGCTCCACTACACCAAGCAGACAGGATTAGATTGTTGATCAGCACAATTAAGGCTCTTATTTAATCTCCTTCCAGGACGCCAGAGGAAGAAAGAAAAAATCCCAAGTACTTGGCAACTCTGAAGAGGAATTAAGAGTTCCCAAAGTCCAAAATCCCAATCAGCAATACCTGCTTCAACTGGAAATCCAGGTGCTTGCTCTTCCATACAAAAAAAAAAAAAACAACAAAAAACCAAAAAGCACCAAACTCAACCCTCAGCCACCAGCAAATTAAAAAAAAAACAAAAAAGCTTCCCAACAGCACCAAATGAGCAGGATTTGGGATTTAACGTGGAAAGCTCCGGCTCAGAATTCAAAGTCCTCGCCAGCCATGTCGATGGCCCAGGCAAACTTCTCCCTCTGGGTCTTGTTGTAGATCCTCTCGATGGGAATCCCAAACTTCTTGCACCTGTGCAGACCACAAGACACCAGTAGGGACCAGTTACCAGCAGTGTCCTCTCCACTGCATCCCTGGAAGTCTCCAAGGCCAGGTTGGATGGGGCTTGGAGCAACCTGGAACAGTGGAAGGTGTCTGCCCATGGAACACCACAAATTTTAAGGTCCTTTCCAACCCAAATCATTCCATGATTTCACACCCAAGACTCACCAAGCCACGGTAATCCTGGGATCCAGATAATTCAGCTTGGATGTGCCCAGGGCTATTTGCTTGTTCTCTTCCTTGTCCGTGGCCTGGATGTTCATCTTGGCCAATTGCTCCTCCAGCCTCTTCAACAGCTTCTTCTTCTTCTCCACATTGCTGAGGGCAGAGAAGGAACAACACAGAATGTCCCAAAGCCCAGAAATTCTCTGGAATGGCAGAGTCAAAGGAGCCATTCAGCACTAACCTATCTCCCAAGGGTTTGGATGTGGGGAGATGTTTTTTTAATATTAAAAATTAACAATTAAAAAATGTCATTTCCAACACCAAAGGTGGGCAAACAAAATCCAGCATCATGGAGTGGGATTCCCAGAGAAGCTGGGACTGCTCCATCCTTGGAAGTGTCCAAGGCCAGGTTGGACAGAGCTTGGAGCAACTTGGGAGAGTGGGCAGTGTCCCTGAAGGGAACCATCCACAAGGTCTTAACCATCTTCCAAACTTCCATGAGACAAGAAGGACACAATCCCAAACATGGGCATTTCTGTTCTGATGGGGTGTTGGGACACATCACTCCCCTCCATGGGCCCTCTGGATTCCTCTGCAAGAGAAGATTCCAAGGAAAAGCCACTCACAGTTCTGCTTTGGCATCTTTTGTGTCTTTAAACTCATCTTCAGCTTTTTTCACTTCTTCCTGGGCTTCCTCCACTTGTTTCTTCTTGGCATCGATCTGTGAAGGTGAAACAGTCAGTCAACACTTCCAACCTCCCTGAAGGTTTCAGCTTCTTCTCCCTCTTCCCCTTCACACACCATTCCTCAATTTCTTACCAACCCTACTTCCCAATTTGGCCCTGCAGCATTTTCTGGGCTCAAGCATTTTTTTAGCATCTTCTAAAAAAATATCCTCCCAGCCCAGGTGCCACAAACACTTGGAGCTCCTAAATCTGTCCATCCTCTGCACCTGCCTGAGACTGAGGGACTTGTGACAGCACCAGAGCACTCAGAAAAGTCCCAGCCCTTCAGTGGGGTGTGAGCAAAAACTGAGGACAATTAAAAGTGGTAATTTAAGGTATTTTCAAGCTGCTCCTCCTGCAAAAAGACAGGAAAACCAATTTCCCTGATCTTGATCCAACTGGGCCAGAGCTGCCATCACAACAGGCCCCCAGCTTGGTTTGAAGACAGAGTGATGAAAAATGCCCCAAACTCATAAGAACTCACCCAAATTCTGTGCCAAGTTGCTTCCCCCTAGCATTTGAGGTCACCACATCCCTCTCCACCCCTGGCTTACAACCCACTACTCCCAGGATATTCCCTGATGCTCTCGAACCAGGTGATTCCTTCAGACATCACCCCAGCCCAAAAATAAAATTTGGAGGCCGGATTAGGTCTGGGATCTCTCTGCTGGGTCTGTCCCACCTTTTCCTGGAGGACTTGCATGGACTTGGCAAAGGTTTTTGGTATAGACCTCTGATGGTTGCACAGGATGGCCACGGCCCTGTTGGCTCGGTTGTAGGACAGGAGCTTTCCTGCAATGTTGTCTTCAGCTGGAAAGAAATGAAAAAACATCACTCTGACTCCATTCCAGGAGTTGGGAAAAGCAGGGAATACAGCAGAAGGAAAGACAAACAAGTTGCTGTCACATTCTCTCTCCAGGGAGAGCAATAATGGTTGTGGGAATTGGGGAAGGACAATTGAGCATCACAGTCTGGTGCTGTGACTCATCCCTCACGCACCCAAGGAGGCAGAAATAGTGCAGCCAACCAGCAGCACAAGGAAAAGAGGGAAAAATATTCCCACCCTGGCTATCAGTTAGTCAGAGCACCCCTGAGCTCACCATTTATCACTTACCAACATGCCACACTTGCTGCTCACCCCACTCCCGCCCCACTCTGTGGAGCATCACCTGCCCCAAATGGGACATGGGCAGTTTTAGGGATCCCAAGGCAATGGATGGACATTCCCGAGCCCTTTGGTCCCACCATGCTCTGGTGACACCACGACCCCTGGCACTCACGGTTGGTGAGGGCCTTGAGCTGCTCCTGCAGGGTGATGGAAGCGTTGTAGGTCCTGAAGACTTTGGCCGTCAAACCATCCATGAGGCGCTGGAGGTGTTTGTTCAGGAAGGTGGTCTGGAGGAGGGAAAACAGGGAAAAGCGTAGGGAAACTCACATTAGGAATTCTAGTGGTAGGACAAGGAGGAATGGCTTCAAAGTGACAAAGAGCTTGATAGGATATTGGGAAGGAATTCTTCCCTGTGAGGCTGGTGAGGCCCTGGAATGGAATTCCCAGAGAAGCTGTGGCTGGCCCCTCCCTGGAAGTGTCTAAGGCCAGGTTGGATCGCGCTTGGAGCAACCTGGGATAGTAGAAGGTGTCCCTGCCCATGGTGGGGATTTGGAACTTGACAGTCTTTAGGGTCCCTTCCTACCCAAACCATTCCATGATTCCTTAAGGAATAGGACAAGCAGAAGCTGGGACAAATTTCTTTTTAGATCATCTTCTGCCTAAGCAACCAAGATTAGGCATTAACAAAAATTTAAATCCTGCAGCTTGTAAAGCTACTTGTGGGGTCAGGTCATCATCTACCCAAAACTGGCCTATGATTCCATCTAAATCCACAAAAAAAAAAAAAAAAAAAAAAATCTCTCTGAAAGTAAAACATTTCTGCCCACCTATGTCCAAGAGGACACACTTTGGCACTTGGGGACGTGGTTTAGTGGTGGACCTGGCAGTGCTGGGTTAATGCCTGGATTTGATGAGCTTAGAGGTCTTTTCCAAACAATTATTCCTGACCTCACATCCAATATCACATCCCTGTTCTACCGAGAACATAGAGCTGCTTCATCGATGCCATATCCCATCCCAAGGAAGATGAGGGAGGAGATTTTTCCAGGAGGGAAGGCAGCACGTCCCTCCATCAACATCTCCCACTTCTGTGGAGCCCTAATGAGGTGCAAAAGCATCAAAAAGCTGAGCTCTGGTACCTCCAGTAATTCCCCAAAATGTGGGCAGACCTTCCCAGGCTAAAAAAAGCCCAAGTGGGTGAGTTGGAGGAGGGAAGGAGCAGGAATCCAGCTCCTCAGGGAGCAGAGATACTCCAGAAAAAGAGGATTGAAAACCTCACAGGGTGTTCAAACAGTGACAATGATGTTCCTAGAGAGCAGAGAGGTAAAATAAGGCGAAGGGACAACCACCAAAGGTGGCCAAGGGTGTCATGGTTTGGCTTCTCCTCCTTCAGGGCCACCAGGACTGTTTGAAAAGCTTTGAGGTGACAACTCACACTGAGGTGGTCAAAGAGGTCCTCGGTGGGGTCCTTGTTCTTCATGAACAGCTGCAGGTTCTTGAACACCTGAAGAGGGGGAAAGGACAGCCCTGGTCAGGGCCAAGGAATGAACTGCTCCCAGACATCTCCCTCATCTCTCTCCTCCTCCAGATGGACTCTGATTTACCCTGGTGTTGGCACATCCCACCAACCTTCTCAACTTCACAGTACCAGTGGGTGTTCCCCCAATCTTTCCCATCTCTGGCATTCCAGTTTCTCCACAAACACCATTAAAATTTTCTTTCCCATGGGTTAAGGAAAATTATTTAATACAAATGGAGACATTTCAAGTCCTGACGTGCACGAGCCAACTGAGGGTGCTCCAGCAAGGGGTGGGACTTCTCCCTCATGAAGCAGAACAACCTTGGAAGTTCTATCCCAAAATTTCTCCCGTTCCCCAGGGTTAAAGCACATCTTGGTAACAGGTTTCAGATGGGAATTTGGGACTGATAAACACAGGGAACCCAGATAACCAAGCCCTTCCTGTATTCCTGCCCCACTCACCGGCTTCTCCACAGACACTTTGTTGTAGTAACGGATGGAGTCTTTCCCGAGGAAGTCGAACTCCACCACGTGCTCCTGCCCATCCAGCTGGGGGTGCAGCTGGATGTGCTCCACGCGCAGGGAGCAGCAGCCGACCGTGTCCGCAGTCTCCCCTTCCTCCTTCTCATTCCCAGCTCGCAGGGCCAGCTGCAAAGAAAATCAGGAGTCATCCATCCCATGCCATTCCACCTCAATTCCCCTTTCCCAGGTTGTTAAAGTGGATCAGGACTAGAGGAGATCAGATCATCTCCATCTATAGACTCACAGAATTATTTGGAAGGGACCTTCAGGATCATCAAATTCCAGCCCCCTGCCATGGGCAGGCCCACCTTCCACTAGGAACAATTTTCATTTTCCACACCTCTGGAAATATTCAAATGGGTGGGATGGGATGGGACTTGGAGCCACCTGGGCAAGTGAGGAGGTGTCCCTGCCCACGGCAAGGGGCTGGAATGAGATGGTCTTGAATGTCCCATCGAGCCAAACCATTCCAGGATTCCATAATCATCCCCACATTCCTCATGTGGAGCCACCCTGGGTGGCAGAACCAGCAAACACCAAAAACTACACGGTGGGGTGGATCAGGGAAGTGAATTCCCAACTTCCACATGGATGGGGACCTGGAGTGAGGCTGTGGATACCTTATCAATGAAGTAGAGGGCCACTGCTCTTTGCCGCTTCTTTATCTCCTTGGATTTCCAGTCTTTCCTGTACTGAGCCCGGATTGTGTGGACAACATCTTTTAGGCGCCGAGCTACCTCGTATTTCTCCCAGTCCTTCTCCCCCTGGAATGGGAAACCAGGATGTTTTCCATTCATGCCCCATCTTTATTCCACCTCTACCAGTCAAGTCCTGCTCTAGAAACACCTCCAGCATCTAAATCCTGCTCAAACCCCACTGTTTTCTTGGGGGGAAAAAAAAAAAAATCCATGAAGGGAATAAACTGGAAAAGAAACAGCTCATCCAGGATTTCTGTGCCCTCTGCTGGCCGTGCTGGGTCTGGATCCTGGCCAAGTCAGGGTGTTCTCCACCAGCCAGAGCGCAGCAAGGACCAGTGGTCACACCATGGCCAAAGGTGGCTCCTTGGACACTGATGTGGACTGACACAGGACTTGCTCAGTCGTGTCCACCTGTGCAGCATTCCCACTTTCCCTGAGCCCTTGGAAACAGCCTTAAATCCCCTTTCTCTTCCCATAGAGCTCAATCCCATCTCTTCCTACCCTCCAATTCCTGGTTAATTTATACCAGGATAACTCTGGTCCCTGTGGATCTTCTTAGCCCCTGTGGATCCTTTCAGCCCCCATCTGGCTTCCAACAGCCTTCCCTGGACACACACGAGCAATGTGGCACCAGGATCGCTCTGCCAGGAGCAACCCATTCCTTGGAATAAATTTAATGCTTTACAATCATCTGTCCTTTCCCTCATTTTGTTTATCAACTTTTAAGAGAAGGGCAATAAAAAAATATTTTTTTTTGATACTCCACATCCTGGCTTTCCCAGATTGTTTTCACCTGACCAAGGGCATTATTCCAACCTTCAGCTTGGAGCTGGGATTCAGCATGATGTACTTCAAGGTGTTCTGGATGTTCTCTGTCCACGAGGCCAGCCAGGTGACCGTGTTGTCAAAGCGCACCTCTTTCCACTTGTGACCTTCTGGAGGTTCGGGAATCTTGGAATCCCTGTGGGAAGAGCAGATTTAGAGCCCTCAGACCACAAAGAATGAAATTTTCAGTGAGCCAAAGATGGTCACCACACTGAGAAAACATGGAATCCATCTAGAATTACTCCACAACATGGAATCATTAAAGTTGGAAAAGTCCTCCAAGATCGAGTCCAACCATGAACCGGCACTGCCAGGAGCACCAAACCATGTCCCCAAGTGCCACATCTACACAGCTTTCACACCCCTGCGGTGCTGGTGACTCCACCACTGCCCTGGGCAGCCTCTTCCTCTGCTTGACAACCCTTTCTGTGGAGATGTTTTTCCTAATATCCAACCTAAAACTCCATCTGGCACAACTTGAGGACATTTCCTTGTCTCCTATATATATTTTCTTTTTTTTTTTTTTTCTGGGAGACGAAACCAAGCCCTATGTGGCTCCACCTTCCTGTCAGGGAATTTTAGAAGGTCCCCCCCAGCCTGCTTTTCTCCAGGCTGAGCCTCTCCAGCTCCCTCAGCTGCTCCTGGTGCTCCAGACACTTCCCACAATCAGGTGTTTGGATGCTGGGAACAACAGAAAAACTTGTTGGAGCCGTGGGGAATGTTTTGCATCAAGGTCTCCAAATGGGTAGCTTAGGACCACTCCAGCTCACAAAACTCAGAGGGAAAAACACTCCCAGGATGTGGAAAACAGGGATTTTAGAAGAGGGAAAAACCCCAGCTCTGGGCAGAGGAAGTGCCCAGTTCCCCCCAGTCCCAAGGGAAGCCCCAGGAGCTCAGCACTTCCAAGGACAACCCACTTGCTGCAGTTGATGATGACATCTTCTGGCATGATCCTCTTCTTCAGCATCCCCATTTTGGGGTGCTCCCCACGGCCACGGAAGAGCCCTGGAGGTTCAGTTTTGAAGTTGCCAATCTTCTCCCGGTGTCCATCCAGAATGCAGTATCCATATTCCTCCTGGATCTTATCCGCTTCCTCCTTCAGCTTCTGAAACCAGGACACCACCAAAAAAAAAAAAAAAAAAAAAAATCAGAATGCTTTGGATTGGGAAGGACCTTTAACATTCCAACCAAGAAGTCTAAGTGCCATCATCTGCTAATAAAATTCAGGAAGAGGGGAGTGATGGCCATGGAGACAGAGCCGGATTAAAGAAGTCCAAGCTCAGGGCACAGCACCAGGAAAGACAACAACAAAGAGCCAAAATTCCCAAAACATGTCATAGGAACCAGTCCTCACCTGCTTCTCCTCCTTGGGAAGCCCTTTCCGAGCCTCATTTTTCTCCACAAAATATCTGTGGATCTCTCCGAAGTCACATTTGTCCAGTTCCTTGATTATCTCTTGCTCCTCTGAGGTCATTTCCTGGGAAAGAGATGAGAGGGGCTGGGAAAAGCCAGGAGGAAAAACTGATTCCACATGGAGCTGCTGCTTATGCCTGTTCTTGGAAAAGGGAATAGAGACCCATTCTTTGAAAAAAGCCAGTTCTGGGGTGGAAGAACCTAACATGGAAAAAAGTCCCCAAACACAACTGCAGGGACAGCACAAAATATATTTGGGAGGTATAAACATTCCCTAGAAAGTTTTGGGTTGTTTTGGGATCAGAGGGCATTCATTTGGTGTTCCAAACTGTTTTTGGAGCTGTTTGCAAGATCCACTACCTGTAGCCATCACTAAAACTCAGAGGGAGCACAGAAAGCAAATCCCAACCCAAACCCACAAAAAACCATGGAAATAAGTAATGATTTAGAACCTCATAATTATAAATAAGGAATAAATCCCCCCATTCCCTCCATCCCACACCACAGCCTGGAGCTGATGGGTTTGATGGATATCAAGGACCCCTCTCAGGGAAGGTACCTTCCTCCAGTCATGGAAGAAGTTGTTCTGGAAGATCTCCTTGGTGGTGTACTCATGATTCAACATTTTGGCATAAAAGGTGGCGATTTCCTCCGTGGCCAGGCTCAGCTTCAAGGGTTTTCCTGGGAAACGAGAGGCAGGAAGGGACACCTTCCATTAAATTAGGTTCCTCCAAGTCCTGTCCAACATTCCAGGGATGGGGCGCCACAGCTTCTCTGGGCAGAATTTTGGATTAGTTCTTAGATTTTCTAAGGATCTTGAATCATCTCTTGGAGGCAAAGCCACCATTCCCTCCTGAGCTCTTTGGCTGGAGAAATACAATGAAACCAAGGAATATCTTGGCTCATCCTAGGAATTACTTGGAAATAATTTGGTTTTTTAGAAAAAAGTCATCGGGAAATTTCCAGGGAATGGTTGATTCCTGCTCGAACCACTGGTTTTTGGGATTTTTAGACGGATGGGATTTGAGCCCTGGAGCAGCCCCTTGACAACCCCCAAACACCAGTTCCTCCATGGCCCTTCCTACTTGGGGTTGTTGCCTGTCCACTCTTTTCCACCCAGGAATGGTGACATTTTTTAGGAAAAAAAACCATCAACATCAAAGATCCCAAAGTCCAAAGCCACCAGCTCAGATCCACAACACCTCAAAGATCAGGTCCAAACCCTGTCAAGGCTCCTTGTCATGGAGCCAAAATCCCTGACAACCCCATGGATATCCCAGCAGTGCTGCCAGGCACCTCCTTTTCCCAAAGTGGCGTTTTCCCTACGGCACAAAAAAGCATGGGAAGCCCCAGGGAAGTGAGGAGCATCAAGAGAATGTGATCCCTTTCCATCTCCACCATCCCTCGGCTGACCCTCAATGTCCTTATTTCCCTTTGGTCCACCAAAAATGAGTTCAGGGATGAACTGAGAGCAGGGAATGGCAGGAAACCCAGTGGGAATGTCAGGAAAACACAGAGGCAGCAAAGGCCTGGATCTGTCCCGCCAGTGACACCCTGAGTTGCTCTAAGGTGATGTGAGGTGACCCTGGGGACATCAGGAGCTTGGAGCAGCCCAGGCAAATCCTTGGATGTGTCAGTCACTGAGGCCATGGATCAGTAAAATCCCATTTTTCCAGCTCGTGGGAAAGCACGGATGAGCTGACAAAAGCTCAAACCCAAAATACAGCTTAATGAGAAAAATCAGCAATTAGGATCAGCTCCCCAAAAACCCCCATAATTCCAACCAGGTGTAAGATCCTCCAGCTTGAACCCATGGCTTTTCCAATGGGATATTCGTCTTCCCTAAGGAAAGGGCACCACCCCAAAAGCTAGGTGCCATCACAGCTGTACCATCGTAATAAAACTGCACATCCTCGGGCAGGGGCTCGTAGGGGGGCACAAAGTAGGGCCCTCGGTGCTCCAGCTGCATCCATTTGACTCCATCTTCCTTCTTCTCCTCTTCCCACCTGGAACAGACACACAGGAGTCCATGAGAATATCCCAAAATCTGGCATCTGGCACCTCCTCCCAAGGTCACATGGGGAGAGCACTCGGAGCAGTGACAGCTGGCACAAACTCCAGGTGAAATCCCATCTTCTCTGCTGCTGCCTCAGTTTCCCTGTTCTTTAAAACAAGGAAAACTGGAATGGAATCCATGAAATTGAGGTGTGGTGACATGGAGGAACTCAGTAGGGAGTGAAGTGATCCTAAAAGCCATGTCATTCCAACCCCTTTCCATGGGCAGGGACACCTTCCACTGATCCAGGTTGCTCCAAACCCCATCCAATCCAAGGAATATTTCCAGGAATGGGGCAACCAGGGCCTCTCTGGGAAACCTATGCCTCATAAATATTTATAACTTTGATTTTAACGCAAATAAGACCTTAAGGAATCTTTCCCCCTGCCGGAGCAAATGGGATTTTAAAGCCACTACAAGTTTTAACTGCGAGGATTTAAAAAACAGCAACAAAAAATCCAATAAAATTTAATTCAAAAATTACAAAAATAGTAATTCCAAAAAATCCAACCACAAAAGCAGGAGAAGGACTCTAAAAAGAGGGATAAAACCACAGGTTAGGGTCAGAGGAAGAGCGCTGGTGACAGCAGGGGACAGGCAGGGAATTGTCCCCCACAGCCAGGCTGGCACTGGCCCTTTAATCCCAGCATCTCCAGGAAAAGAAAAGCCAAGAATTTCCAGGATTTCCAAGGATTTTCTACACAGAGAAAGCAAAACTCCTGTTTCTCACTCATCAGTGCCCAGGAAATTATTTGTGATTTTTATTTCTTCCTCATGGGAAGCAGAGTGGAATAAATCCATGGTATCCAAAGGTGCCTTTTGCCAAAAAACCAGAGGAAATTAAATAGGGAAGGAAAACCAACAAACTCCAGGAATTCGGGCTGAAAGCATCAGAGAAAGGCAGTGTCAGGATAATTTTGTGATTGTCTCTCTTCCCAAAATTCTGGGATCCCAAATCCCTGCAGAGCATTGCCCATACTCACCTTGCACAGCCCCCCCCAAGCCCATCCAGAGGCCAAGGAGGGTGACACTTGGGAATTTCCTAATGGGAAATGTAGCTGTGGATAATTTTTTGGGATTGAATTCCCACATACCAGCCTCCGTGCTGGAATCCAGCCATTCCAAACGAGGCATCGATTAGGGAAAAAAACACATATAATCCCACTTTTCACATCACCCTGGATCCTTCAAGGGCCACCTCAAAGCTCCAGGTATCCATGGATATCCCTGTCTGGGATAACGGCTCCTCCCTGATCAGGGTTTGCCACAGGCTCCCAAAAAGCATCCCAAAAATCCTCCCGCTCTGTCCCAGATCTTGGGGAGATCTGGGAGAGAGTGACACCAAGTGGTTAAAGTCACACTTCCAAAAGATAATCCAGCATCCAGCGGCCACATTCCACATCCTTTCCTACAAAATACCTGCCTGGATCATCCCAAATCTGCTGGAGAAGGGAGTGGGGAAGGAATTCAACCCCTCTACAGCTGCCTGATAGATGTTTTATTAATATTATTATTTAATATTTATTATTATTTATTTATTATTTAATATTTATTCCTATTTAATATTATTATTTTTTATTATTGTTATTATTCCCTTCCAATAATCATGAGCTTCTCCCTTCCTAGGACAGGCACCAGGAAAATCATTGGAGGAGAAAAAAATATTACAAATAAATTTAAAAATAAAAATAATTACAATACAAATCCTGCTGTGCATTCAGGACCTCTTTCCCTGATCCCTCACCCATTTCCAAGAGGGCCAAGTTCAAGGCTCAAGGCAATATAGGAAAATAGCCAAAAAATAGGGATTTTCACTGTTTTGCTCCACAAAATAAAATTAAAATCCCAGTCCCCAGTCCCAGGGTTAGACCTGCCAAAGGCACAATGGAATTTACCATTTCCATTTGTTTTCTGCTTCTTTTTCTTCTTCCTTCTGTTTTTTAGTCTTTTTATTGTTCTTTTCTTCCTCTTTTGTTTCTTCTCCTTCCTTAGATTTCCTTTTCCCAGTTTTCCCTGGGGTTTCCTCCTCTTCACTCTTTGTCTCTTTTGTTTCCCCCTTTGGCTTTTTCTTCTTGTTTTTCCTCTTTTGCCCTGGAATATCTCCCTTCCCTTCATCCTCGTCCACCTTCACCTCCTTTTCCATCCCTGCACTCCCAGTCTCTCCCAATCCTTCCTCCCCTTTCTCGGCCACCTCTTCCTCCTTCTCTATTCCTTTTCCATCTCCACTTCTTTTTCCCACTTTCTCCTCCTCTTCACCTCCCACTCTTTTCTCTCCCTCCTCGTCTTTCTCCATCTCGTGCTCCTCTTCCAGCAATTTTTCCTTCTTCATTTTCCTCTTCCCCACCTTTCCCACCCTCTTCACTTTCCCCGTCCTGCGCTTCTTTGCTTTCCCCTTCTGCTTTTTCTTCCCATTATCCCATCCCTGGCTGCTGCTGCTTCTCTGTCTTTTGGCTCTTCCCTGTTCCCCTTCCCAATTCCTGCCTTCATCCCCCTCTTCCTCCTCAATGCCATCCATCAAATCCTCAAATTTTTCCTTCCTCCCTCTTTTTCTCTTCAATCCCATTTTCTGCTTATTTTCCTCCTGTTTCTTCCCTCCTTTTCTCTTCAATCCCATTTTCTGCTTATTTTCCTCCCGTTTCTTCCCTCCTTTTCTCTTCAATCCCTTTCCCTGCTTGTTTTCCTCCTGTCTTTTCCCTCTTTTTCTCTTCAATCCATTTTCCTGCTTGTTTTCCTCTTGTTTCTTCCCTCTTTTTCTTTTTGGGGCTTGGGAATCCTCTTCCTGCTGTGGGGTAGGGGGATCCAGCTCCTTCTCCTCACTCTCCCTCACATCTGTGAGCCCCACATCCCTCTCCAAGGGATCTCCAGAGGGGGATGCAACCCCACCAGCAACAGCTTCACTTGGGACCTGTGGGAAGCGGGAATATGGGAAGAGATGTTGGGAAAGCAGAGAGGTTATCCCAAATCCCAAACAAATGGTGGAGAGGCAGCATTAGGTCCAGGGGGTGACATTCCCTCCGGTTTTCCTACCCCAATTCCATTCTGGATCTCCAAGAGCTGCTCTCCCACTGCAGGTCCCGTTCTCTGGGATTTCTCCTGAGACCTACAACGTCACCACAGCCAATTCTCACCACCAGCATTCTCCTCTTCCATCCCAAATTAGGGAATTGCTCCCTCATTTCTCTCCAATCGTGGCAGCGCCACGGATGGAGATATCCCGAGGCAGCAGGGAATGACCCCAAGCTGGATTTTGTGGGATGAGGAAGCTCAAAGGAGCAGAACCACAAGGTCACCAGACAGAACAGGGGAGGTCCCAAGGAAATATTCCCAGAGAAAGCTCAGGAGAAAAGGTCTGGCAGCACCAACATCACAAAGGAAGGGATCAGGCCAACCATGGAAAAGGAGACAGATGGGACACAATTCCTGGGACTGTGGGGATGATTCCAGTGGGGAACGGGCAGGGAAGGAGCCTCATCAATACAACAGGACAAGGAGTGCCCAGATCCATGATATCCACCATCCATACGGGTGAGGAATCCAGGAGTGTTCCCTTGCTCAGGAGAGAGCTCAGGTGAATCTTTGGGAATTCTGTGGGATTTGCAACCATTATAAAGCACCAACCCGCCCCTATAATTTCTCCCAATCTCGAGCCAGGCAGGGAGTTCTTCAAGGTGTTCATATTCCAGAAAAATCAAGCAAAATAAGAATGAGGAAATGGCAGCACAGCCTAAACCAAGCTTAGGTCTCCTAGGCTGAGCCTAAAACTCCAAAGGGTGGATTTAGGTGGGGTATTAAGAAAAAATTCCTCACTGAAAGGGTGGTCAAGCACGGGAAGAGGCTGTCCAGGTGGGATCACCTTCCCTGGAAGTGTTTCAAAACCCTATGGATGGGGTGCTTTGGGACGTGGTTTAGTGGTGACCTTGGATAATTCTTCCAACCCTAAGAATTCCATGAGTTCAACGTTGAGGTTTGCCTGTGGAAACCTGGGGATTTCCCTTCTGGGTCATTGTCACCTCCCAACCAAATCCTCTGGTCCATCCTAAGCTCAAGCCACAGATCAGATCCATTCCCTGCTTTTCCCAACTCCTGGATTCTGCAGCAGGAACCCTTTGGAAGCACAGCCAGCTGCCCTGATCCTTCCCAAAAAAAGAGTTGTAAATCCAGTTTCCTCCTCCCAAACAGGATAATGATTTCTCTTCCTGGACTTCCAAATAGAGAAGAGCCAAAATTCCTGCTTTTAGCCAAAATACGGCAAAATTTCTGCAACAGAAAGTGTGAATTTTGGCCCCTTTCCATAAATAAATCTAGGCAGATAATTAATTACCAGGCTGTGGGACATCAAAGCAAGGAAAACCTTCAAGCTGGCTTGGGATGAAAACAAGTTCCAAAAAAAAAACCCAAAAAAAACCCCAAAAAAACTAGGAGCTGGATGTTTTTTCCTCACTGTTACACAATCCCACTAAACTCCTTAGGGAAAATTATCCTGCAAAACATGCTCAGCCCCTCCAATCCCATTGGCAGGAGCAGAAGGCAAAATCCCAGCACCTTTTGGGATCAGCTCCTTCCTCCAGAGGTTTTATTAGAGGCCTCTCACTGGGAATTTTTAAGAGGCAGATTAACCAGCTTCAGGAATTCTGCTTCCTATCTCTGCCAGGATCTAGAGGGGAAAAAACAGCCTTTTCCCAGGATTTGGGAGCCTGGTTGTTCCCACCAGGACTTCCCCAAATTTATGTAGGAATGTGCACCTGAGCAATCACACTCTGCTGACTGGGGAGGGTGGAACTTCTCTCTCCACCCTCAAATCCCAGGATTGAGCCTCAATTTCCACTTGGGATTGGTTTTGGAAAGATTTAAAGTCGTCAGAAACACCAGGATGTAGAGAAGATGCTTCAGGAAGGCACCAGCAATCCAGGAGGGAAAACCAGGATTGTGCAGCTCCACAGGTCGGAGAAGAAAAAGGACGAAGTTCCAGTTCTCTGGATGAAAAATAATCCAAAAAATGACTCTACTCACCTGGAAGAGCCTTCCAGCCCCACTGCTGGCCCTTGAGGGGAGGTTGCTTTGGTCTCCTCCTAGAAAATATCAAGGATTTGGGAAAGGTTCCCTGGCACAGGTACCCCAAACCAGCACTTTTCCCTCCCTCAGCCCCCTTGGCTGGAATCCAGGAACCCAAAATACCAGGTTTTCCCAAGTTTTGAGGTTCTATGGGGTTAGGAAATCCCTGGTTTCCTTCTAACAGCAAAATAAAGGAATTTTTATGGATAAACTTAGGAAAACTCCCAGCCCTCCTCTACCACCTGCTCATTGGAAGCACTGCTGGAAGAGGAACCCAGGGAACAGAAGGTATGGGAGGGCTCCAAAATAAAGAGGGATCAAATTCCAGGTGCTTGGAAGATGAAATCACCCTTGCAGCAGATGGCAAGAGGGAAAGAGAAGTGGGGAGCAAAGCCACGGGGTGGGAAATACAATAGGGATGAGTAGAAAGCAAGAAAAAGGAAAAAAAACCACAGGAAACAGGGATAGGAGCTAAAAGAAAATAAGCTCAGAGGGGACACAAAACAGATCCTCAAAATCTGACTCTTGGAGGACAGAAAGGACAGATTTTTTTTCCTAAAGAAAGGAAAAAAATCAAAATATACCGGAAATGGGGATAAGAATATAAAAGACACAAAGAGATCCTTAAAATCTGACCTATGGATGCCACCAGAAACTCTGGAGAAAGATAAAAAACATGAAAATATAGGGAAAATGGGGACCTGAAAGAAAATGAGCTCTGAGGGGACACAGAGCCCTCATATGTGACCATGGACACCATGTGACACCCTGGAAAATGGAAAAAAAAAAAAAAAAACCAAACATCAAAATACAGGGAAAAAAAGGGGACCTGATAGAAACCAAGCTTGGAGAGGACACAGAGCCCTAAATTCTGTCCCTTGGACACCACCAGAATTCCCATCCCACTGTTTTTACACTTGTTTTCCAAGCTGGGAACATCTTCTCCTGCTCCTGACCGCACAAGGCATCCCAAAACTCATCCAGGGCTTGCCAAGCACCGAGATTCTCACTCTAAATCCCGACTTCCCCAAGTTTCTCTTCCCAAGGCTTTCAAGGGAAGCCAAAACCATGCAGGGATCTCTCCTGAAAGCTGCTGGGAGAACTCATTAAGGAGAAAATAAAACCTTGAGTTAATTACAGGTTGGTTTTGTCCACATAAACTTTCATTCCCTGGGAACACGCCTGCTCTTGGATTCACAATCCTTCAGAAACCCTGTTGGGAAATTCAGGAAGAGCCATGACCTTCCAAAGTCATTCCTGCCTGCAAATGCCTGATGGTTGTACTGGGAATGGCAGGACCACAGGCACCCTTGGGGGGTTTCAAAGCTGCTCCTTGAATTTGAGCCATCCAGGAGACTTTGGGGACATTTGGGATCCTGTTTCTGAGAGGGATGCAAAGAGGGGAAAAAGGAAAAGCAACTCGGCTGGATTTGCACACCAAGAGGACAAATTAACACAGGAAAAGCAAAATACAGCAGGGATTTGCTGGGATTTGTGCTCTCCAGCACCAGGAAAGGATCATGGAATGGTTTGGGTTGGAAAGGATCTTAAGGCTCATCTAATTTCACCCTCACCTTCCACTATCCCAGGTTGCTCCAAGCCCCATCCAACCTGGCCTTGGACACTTCCAGGGGGGCATGAACAAGGAAGACAGTGAAAACCAAATTCCTGAGGACGGGATTCCCAATCCCAACCTCCTGCTTAGGAAGTGAGAGTCACCTGTATCCTGGTGCTCCCCATTGATGTCACCAAAATGTGATGTACTCAACCCCAAAACCAGGGAATTTACTCCTTAATTTAATTCCAGATGCTCAAAAGCTCCTTCCAGGGGCTTGCACCAAACCAGAAGCCAGAATCCTCCCAAATTCCCTTGGGAAGAAGCCACGGGAATGCTCCCCAGTCCTTCAGCACAGCCACCACCACATACCGATGCGGGCGCAGCTCCCTCCTCGGCTTGGATCCCATTCCAGAGGCTGGAGCCAAGGCCTTTCCCATCTGCAGCCTCCTGCTTCAGGGAGCTTCCCAGCCAGAAATGGGACAGAGAAAGGACACACATATTTTAGGATCATGGTTTGGGTTGGGAGGGATCATGTTGTTGCTCCAAGCTGCTTCCATGGGAAGGAACACCTTCTGCTATTCCAGGTTTGTCCATGCTCCATCCAACCTGGCCTCGGACACTTCCAGGGATGGGGCAGGCATGGCTTCTTTGGGAA